GAGAGAGAGAGAGATGTACACATATACGTATTGTATGGACGTGCCGTGTCTAGATATCATTTTTTGGGGTTTACATTTCTGACACTTGCATGCGTGTCACAAATAGAATGCTTGTCCATTTCTATGTAAAATAGATAGAAAGAGATAAATGATTCAATCGAAATTTATGAAGTAATGCATATTTGTTCTAGGGGAACAAACCAAAAAGTATTATTATTAGACATATATGTTTAGAAATAAACTAGAAAGGATCCCAATCCTCTATGAAGTATGGGTGTGGTGTGTCTCTCCAAGAATGAGGACTTACATTTTGATGATGGAACTTTAGTTTGTGAATTCTGTTTTGGAAAATGCTCATCTGGCTCACCAAAGCAATTTGATATCTTGGTGTATTGGATGGTTTTATTATTGCCATCTTTTGAGAAGTATTGAAATGTTGTCAGGGCTGACTAGTTGGAGGTTTTCCACGAGTGTCACAACTCACAACGGGGCATGTTTCGATAGGGTGATGAATGCATTATTGATCATCATGTTGGCATGGATCAGGAAACAAAGGGTGTCTTGAACGTTTGATCTGTCAATTTAGTGCTTAGTGTGTGCTAAAGTCCTTTCAGCAGGCTAAGGTAGTTTTTGGGTTTCTTTGTCTTTGCTAAGGGCGTATCTGCCTCATGTCTCTGCACGTCCACCAACTTGCCTTAATGGCTAAGCTGCGTAGTAATGGTGACTCCACGAGGGGAGTGGTCCTCCTCTCTTCTTATTGGGTATTGTAAATTGCAAGATGCATTTAGAAGAAATTTTTGGAGTGTATCAATTTGTTGGGAGATTCTTTTATCATGTCCTTATAAATGCCAATGAGACGAGTGATTCTTTGGCTTGAGAAGATGCAACCAGAGTGGAGTGGGCATTTAGAAGAAGTATTTTGCTCCCTCAACAATTGTCCTACGAGTATTTGCTGTAACCATTGATTTGTATCCCTTTGACTATACCAGATGTGTATGATATGGACCACACTGCATCAAGTTGATTGCTTTGCATGGGGTTTTATGTCATTGCTAAGTAGAATGGAATTTGTACACTTGTGCTACATGTTTATTGCTGATTTCCTTTGTGGTTTTAGTAATTACATAGTTCCTATACCATGTATTGTCTTCTAGACATATTTCTTGTGCTAGCTAAGGCCACGTCCAGTTAACATGAAAATGCAGCCAGGAAGAAAAATATGTTGCTGAAATCCTGAAAAAGAATTACCAAATAAATAGTGGGAGGCGGGGGAAACAATACATGGCCCAGTTTTGGTGAGTCAGCCGACTCACCAAAACACGTGTGTCCTGTTATGCATAAGATGACCATCTTAGACATGGACATCAAAAGAAGGGACCTCCACTAAGGTTAAAACGGATGGTGGAGAAAGAAAATAGCAAGAATACCATTTTATTTTTCAAAAAAAGAAATGCCACTCATTATAATCATCATATTTTGAGATAAACAAACCCCAAAATTCTGGATCTACAATCCATCTTTAAGATGGATTTTGAAGGTGCCGGACATCAACAGGTGAGTCAGCCAACTCACCACACACTTTTCCAGCAATAAGACACAAAAAAGCAAACCTATTCACTGCATTATGTCGAAAGTTTCTATCGCAACTTGTTTGAGCCCCATAACTCAATTGGAAGGTCCTTGTTGCAACCTTGAGATTGTGATTGCCGCTTACCCCAAAAAAGAGAAAAAAAAAAGAAAAGAATTTTCATACTGTGGTTCAAACACAGTTGACCTATTCTTTATTATATCCCCAGTCATAGTGTTCACTAAAATGTTAATGTAAAAGAAGCTATAGAATGGATGTTACACATAATTCAGAGTCATTGTGATTTCTTTTTTGGACTTGTACACTTACGATATAATTCTTTGTTTCTGATAATATTGTGGAACAAACAAAGGTCCATTGATTTATTGTGTTTCAGCCATCAATCTTTACTTCTGTATTAGCAATCCTTTAATTTTCAATTTTTCTTGATAAACTGATCTCCTCTGCTTTTCTTTTTCCATGGCTTTCTAACGTTGTGTTTAATCTCGGGCTGTGACATCAAGGCGACTGATCCTGGCTCGTGGCTTGTTCGCTCTAAAGTCTCAACCTATGGCATGGTTCTTCTCTTTACAAACAAGTTACCGAAGTTTGCGTTTGTTGTTCTTAATGTGTTTGATCGAGAATAATATCACTAAAGATCATCTTAAAGGAAAGAAAAGAGAGAAGTGATTATAATCTAAAGCTCTGGTCCTCGTCTTTCATACTTCAAATAATCTTGCTAATATTTTTTGGGTGAGGGGGCGTTGTTTTTGTTCCATCAGGAAGTGCATGTAGAAGGGTCGAGAGATGACATCTCATGGTGGGAGCCACCAATTGAGATTGTGAGGCATTTGGATTGAATCTCATTCCTCAATTGATTTGCTGCTTCTGTTTATTGGATTAGTTGTTTAATGACTTGTTATTCTATTGGCTTTCAACTTTCTAAAATGGATGTATGTTAGATTCCCGATGGATGAGTGCTTTGTGACATGGTTTACTTGAATGGATGGTGCAGATTTTAAAGGCATGTTTATTTTGATCACATCATGAATCAAGATGTGTTTTAGGCTCTTAAAAAAGTCTCTTGAAGTGGTTTTGGGGCTTCCGATGATGCTGAATTTGTTTAAACAAACGGATCGGTGGGGTGGATCATTCACCCCCAATCCCAGTTCGGATCGGCAATCTGGATCATTTGTGAATCGTCTAGATTGATAATCCAAAAATGTAAAAGATAAAATAAAAATAAAAATAGAGGTTTTTGGGGTGGGGATTTAAGAGGGATCATAGAAAACATTAGATAAGCTTGAAGAAAAAAAGAAAAAAGAAAAAGAAAATGCGTGTGGGGTGGGGTTGGGATCCATATACTTGCAAAAGTGGTTCGGTTCCGATCAATTCTACATCCAAAACGGCAAGGGGGGGGGGGAATTGGATCGGGACCCATAAACTTTCAAAACCGGTTCGGTCCTGATCGATTCTACATCTAAAACGGCAACCCGGATTGAAAATTACTGGGTTTTAGGAAAGCACTGATATATCTTAACGTTATCATGCTTTGCATATGACTATTGGGATCGGTCCTGATCGATTCTACATCCAAAACGGCAACCCGGATTGAAAATTCCTGGGTTTTAGAAAAAGCACTGATATATCTTAACGTTATCATGCTTCGCATATGACTATTGGGTTGATTGTGCCGTGCGTGCGAGGTAAATTGTGTTCTGTACTTTTTGTTTAGGCTTTTGGAAACAGATGGATTTTAAGCTGAAGAAAAATTTTAACCTTGAGGAGGGTTTACGACCACGTCCATAGTTTGAAACTTCTATCTCTCTCTCTACCTCTTTCTGTCTCTTTTTCCTGAAACAGTTAAACAAATATTTCATTGACTCAATGAAAGCTATACAAATAAACATGCCAAGCGGCCCAAAAAGAAAAAAAAAAAGAGGAGAAAGAGAAGAAAATAAAAGGAAAAAGGATAACACATAAGGGTAAATTACAAGGAAATAGCATTTTTAGAGAGTAACTTATTTACCACTCAGAAGGTCCGTAATTTCCTCTCTCTCTCTCTCCCTCCCTTCCCCCGGCGATGCTTGGGTGCCCGGTTCCTTATCACTCGGTGGGGTTTCTTAAAAGAATATTTAGGCTCTAAAAATGTTGGAAATGAGAGTCGGGCTAGAAAAAGGTCACAGGAGTGGAGGTTCCCTAGAGCTTTTTAAATTTTTGTTTCTGTTGAGTAAGTGCACACTTGATTAAGTCATGTGAAAAAATTCTATCATGTGGTTTGGGTATCAATTAGCTGTCAATTTAGTGTGAAAAGATGCACTATGATTAATTGGTGTGAAAATATTTTCATACCCAACCCCATGAGAGAATTCTGTATGGTGAATTCTTAGAAAATATTTTAATGTGCAACAAACATGCCTTAAAATAGTGAAAATGTGGGGTAGTGGTAGGAGGTTATTTCCGCCGAAAAATTCTAGATGGAGTGGAAAATAAATAAATAAAAGGTAAAATGGACAAGGGAAATTAACACAAAAATCTCCTTTTATACTTTAATGCCACTATTGTATAGTGATTATTGTATTTTAATTTTATTCTTTTTCTATATATATGATTAAGATGTTCATATTTTTGACCATAACACATTTGTACAAAAATACTAAAAATATAATTAAATTAAATAAAAATAAACAAGATATCTCATATATGTAAAAAATTTAGATAGAGAGAGGGAGAGAGAGAGAGGACCATATGGTGGGAGATGAAACAAGTTTGGATATACTGCAACTATTTTGGGAAAATTAAAAAAAAAAAAACCCCAAGACTACACTTTTCATACAGCTTACTTCAACCTAATTTTTTTTTCATTTTTTTCTCCAAACTACACATTTTATGCAAATACCCTAATAAATAAATAAATAAAGCCTAAACTACAATCCCCTATTTTTATTTTACCTATGCCTCTCTCTCCTCTATCCCACCAAAATAGGGGCTCCGACACTGTATAAGTTCGATCCAGTAGTAAGGCTCCTCCACTGTGTAAGGTGTGGTCCGACAGTAGGGCTCCAGCATTGTATAGAGTGCAGTCCGACAATTGCAAATGGTGGTCCGACGGTTATTGGATTCCAGGTTTCCAACACTATGTAAAAGGCGATGGGTAAAGTGCGGTCCAGCAATAGGGTTCCGGCATCATGTAAAATGCGGTTCGACAATTGCAAAGGACGGTCCGGCAGTAGATGTTACTAGATTTCAGGTTTTCAGCATTTATGTAAAAGGCGGTTTGACAGTAGATGTTATTGGATTTAAGGTTTTCAGCATTATGTAAAAGGCGGTCCGGCACTTGTGCACTCCAGTAATGTGATTGTACCCTCCGGCATATGTGCTACTGGCTCCAAAAGTCAACATCAAATTTGGCCAATTGTACTGAAAAGTCAACATCAAATTTGGCCAATTGTACTGAAAAGGTATTTCTGTCTTAAAAAAAAAGAACTTTTTTCTTTAGGGCATGTGGGAAAAAAGTTTGGGAAAAAATTAGATGGGATAAGTTCCATAGGAAGTAATATGGTATTGGATTTTTTTTTTTTTGTTCTTTTTGTTTTTGTTTTTTTAAATTTTCCCTAACTAATTTTTTGCATTAAGACTCGGGTATTTTACTAGCAAATCTCCCATAAGTCATTGGAACGACACAATTTCGTGTCTCTCTCATATGCGGCACGTGTTAGTTTGTGCGCTCCTTCCATTCATGGATCTCCATTATCAAATAAAATTGCGCTCTATTTATCCCCGAAGACGTCTTTTTGTCGGCTTGTTTCTCTCGTGTCATATCCTTTCTCTCTCTAAGAAGCTCGTAAATGGCGTCAATGAGTGCCGTAACTAGCCAGCTCGCTCACCTGCAACGCTCAAAGGAGAGGGGGAATCCGTTTTCTTCTCCATTCTCTCTAGGTAAGCAAAGTGGCATTTCTCTTCATTTTTACCATACTGATTTCAAACGCCTTAGCCTTAGCCTTAGCTCTCTCACTTGTCATGGCTTCTATCATCTGCAAAATTTAGGAATTCTTGGTCAAGTTTGGGTTTTGATGTTCATTTCTCCCTTTTGCTTTAATTGCTGGTTCTATGTATCAAATGCCTTACGTTTTTTCTTTTTCTGTGAATTGGAGTGGGGCATTGCTATTGCTTCCAAGTGTATTACTTAAATTTGTTGCGAATCATTGAAAGAAATTCGATTTTTAAGCCCTAGTTTCACTGGGTTATTATCAAATGATTCCCTTGAGAGTAACACGCATTTGGACTGGGAATTTTTCCAATTAGCCAATGCAGCTTCTGTGAAATGAAATTTGTTTGATTTCAAAGTTATTGGAGATTTGGGGGATTCATTATAATTGACTGTCTTTTTGTTGAGGTATTCAAGCATGTCTTAGAGCTCCGAAATACTTTGAGTAAACCTGTTGAAAGGGCTTTTAGGATTTAGAGAACATGACTTGAAGAAATTGAAAGATAGGGGATTTATTTGAGACTATGATGTTTGAATGGTCATATCTCTGAACATTATCTGGTACTTGAATTTTGAGACAAGATTAAGCAAACCCATGAAATTGTCATGATTCCTTACTATGCTTTAGCTATAGGACCTTGTCATGTTATTGTGCTCTCTTATCTAGGAGATATCCATCTTCACGAGGCACTTTATTGATGTGAAATGTGATTTTTTATGGCTGATTCAAAATTGTTGAATGGTATCTAACTAACAAAAGTTAAGTAACTAAAAGTGGATTGGTTCCTTTTTAAATGGGTTCCTTATAAAGCAATTGAAGCACCAGATTGCATTATGGCTTGGCTTTGGCACGTGAATTTTATGTTGTTTGAAAAATTCAATATGTTCTCTCTTTTTTGGTTTATGATTACATGGGCATGGGTTGGGAGAAAGTAAAAAGGAGTCTTTTTTGGGTAGGTTAAATTAAACAAGAGTTGGCAAGACAATTTCCACAAATCCTGTCTTCGAAATAAGGGGACAGATGGTAGCTGGTTGTGCTTTGTATTGTTTCTGCTTATTCCTATTTACACATGGGCTGAGGTTCAGTACAACGTTGGGTTCCCTTTTCCTCTTGATTCACATACTTGGTTGAGTTTAAGAACAATATTTTCTTTCAAGAAAAGATGATGAAGAATAATGCTCTGTTTGATACCATGTATATGCTAATCTGCAAGTTTAAACTTGACGTGCTTGTATGTTGTTTATTTATGAGGTATATGTTGTTTATTTATAAGGTAATGGATTAAGTACGAGCACTAGTGGTCCGCACTTTGTATATTGGCCTCGAAGCAGAACCTTTCATTGCAGGAGATCCTTGAGGGTGAATGGTCTATTTGGAGGAAAAAAGGAGAATAATGAGAACACTGACGAAACAGCTAAAAAGGTATTCTACTCTCATCCATCGTTAAAGGCATTATATGAAAAATATATTGTACTTTGTCTGGAGACAATACTCTTGATAGCTGTTTAACTTCTTGGTGGTCCCAACATGGCATAATAGCTTCCACTTTTGATCGACATATGTGACCTAATACCTCAGTTCTTTTTTTATTACCAATTTAGTTCTAAACAATAACCATAAACCTTTCCCTCATTATATTGACATCTAGTCTGGAATGTAACCATCACTAGACTGACACCAATGTTCAAAAACCTGAAAAACTCGATTGATTCGGTTATTGCCAAAACTGAGTGGACTTTCAAAGTTAAGCAATTAACTAGCAAAACCTCAGGCCAGTTTTTCCAATTTTGTAAGAAGTCAAAAAGAGGGAAAAAAACATAAGCATCTATGGGGGATTTCAACCCAGTTGGTGATCAAGTAAAAAATGCACACCGAATACTTCACTACCTACCATTTATATGACCAAAAAACGCATAAGGACATACTATATATATACACACAAAACTCAGGTGCATCTGAGTTTTTTAGTTACAGAACTTTGCAAGTGGTCCAGTCAAGTTGAGTTGGCGAGCTTGTGCAAGTTGAAAGCGGGTTTTAATTAACTGCTGGACATTGTCTTCTTCATGGCCTTGTTCGCCTATTCTTGCATGTGGGCTTGTCAGGCTATTCTTGCATGAATAACATAATAATTTGATGCTGTTCATAGAATCTTATAGTCGAATGGGGGAAGTCCTGGGAAAGGCACATCTCTTTCAATTGATTCAAGGTCATAGATCATTGCCTATATTGTGAAGATAGCTGAGGATGTCCAATGATCAGAATGATTGGACATCCTCAGAACTCTATTATTGTGTGTGTCTTGTTCACAAGGAAATAGCTGTTTTAGTGAGAAGACTTAAATACAATCATTAGAACTTGTTCAATCTTTGAAGCAGAGAGCGATGGCACGACATCCATATCAGTATGGACCTCTATTTTGGTGGTACGCAATCTGTGATCTTGTTTTATGACAACTAAATTGCGAATCATATTATCGATAATCCAGGAAAATTGAGAGATTGAGGAAGATGTCGCACATAGAATTAGAAGTGGCTAGGGGAAGTGGAGATGTGCAACTGGAGTGTTATGTGATCGCGCATACTAATGATGTTGAAGAGGAGGTTGTGTAGGACAACTGTGAGACTAGCTTTGCTCTATGGGGCAGAGTGTTGGGCGGTCAAGAAACAACATACCTATAGGATGAGTGTAATTGAGATGAGGATGTTTAGATAGATGAGTGGAAAGACAAGAAGGGATAGAATTCAAAATGAATACATTTGGGAAAACTTAGATGTGGCTCCAATAGACGATAAGTTGAGAGATAGTACACTTAGATGGGTTGGCCATGTGCAGTGCAGATCCAGTACATTACCTGTTAGGATGTACGAGTTGTTTCACGAAGAAGGCTGAAAAAGGGTAAGGGGTAGGCCCAAAAGACAAGGTTGGTAGTAGTGAAAAAAGATATGGGGACTCATAGGGTATGGCCCTTGATAGATAAGAATATTGGACCAGGATTTATGTAGCCGACTGTAAATAGTTGGAAGATAAGTGCACCAAGCGTATAGTTGTACATGATCACGCCCCAAGAATTTACAATACTGATATTCCTGAGATGTGACAGTCAAAACATATATACATCAATTGATAGGACAAGTTTACAGTGGCGAATTGTTACAAAGTAACAAAAGAAAGTTTAAGCACAACTATAATATCTTCCAAAGTTGATCTTGACGAGCACTCAAAATGAAACCGCAGTTATCTTGAAAACAATGTTTACCATAGTTTGATGAGTTTGGCCACTCAGTAAGTGGTC